AGTGAAAACCAATAAATATCTCGAGATTTTCAAATGGAACACCCTATATTCCATTCCAAATTTGCATAGAGCTCAGGAAGACGAGTTCAATGATATATCATAACATGTGTCTGATATCACCCGTTTCGGACTTATACACGATCTTCTTCAATAAATTGCCCAATTTCAAAGCCCTATAGAAACGTTGTGAATAAAGTTTTCGATTCGCAGTTCCCGCTATAAATTAACAAATTTTGTATGTTTTCTTGATCCATGGTAAAAGTTTATGAATTTCGCATTGGCCAAAAGTGATGATTTATTTTGAAAAACGATAATTTTTTACAAATTTTCGAATGGAACACCACCCTATTTCATTCCATCTTTGGATGAAGCTCAGAATGACGAGTTCAATAATATATTATAATATGAATAAATTTGATTATTTTTTCAAGAAGATCGTGTATAAGTCCGAAACGGGTGATCTCAGACCCATGTTATTATAAATCATTGAACTCGTCTTTCTGAGTTCTATGCAAATATGTAATGAAATATAGGGTGTTCCATTTCAAAATCTCGAGATAATTATTGGTTTTCAAAATACGTCATCACTTCTGGCAAATTCAGAATTCCTAAATTTTCATCATAGAACAAAATAATATACAGACTTTGTTAATTTATAGCAAAAGTTGCGAATCAAAAACTTCATTCACAACGTTTCTATAGGGCTTTGAAATTAGACAATTTATTGAAGAAGATAATGTATAAATCCGAAACGGGTGATCTCAGACCCATGTTATTATATATCATTGAAATCGTCTTCTGAAGTACTATCTAAAAATATGATAAAATATAGGGTGTTCCTTTTGAAAAAACGTATTTGTGATATGTCACGGACATATGGATCATCCTGTATAAATGACAGTATCTAAAAGTTAAATTTCATAAAAAGTTATACAATTTTTATCCTGAACTTTTTTCTGTATATATAATAGTTTACCAGATAAGGGGGTGGCCCAAGTTATGTGGGATACCCTGTACCTTACAGCCTTGAGTTAAAAAATCAGTTCGGAATTTGTCCCTACTTGAACCCTTCCCAGAAGGAAGGTGATTGATTTGTTATGAGATTTCCTTATCATTTTGATAAATTTCTTCATTTTTCTTCCACATGTTGGCTGAAGTTGGGATGATATTTTTGACTAACCAACCTAACAATGGAGTTCCATAGAAAAATCGAAATTAATGAATAAAATTCAATTGAGCTCCATTGTGTTTCTCTCTGAATAGTGAATTTTAATCAATTATGATTATCTAATCCAGATAATGGAAATGATGAAGATATCTGAAGATAGGTAGGTTCAACTTTCTTCGATTGATTTATTATTTGGGCGACTTCTATATTTATTTTGTCAAATAGAGAGATCCACTTGTGAGTACAAAAATAACATCTTCTCTGACGTTTTAATAATGTTCATCGATTGCCCAACTATTGATAGAGAAACTCATGAATCACTTTCAATTATACTGATAACATATCTTTCATTTTAATAGCATTCAACCATGAATCACAATTTAATTTATGTAAATATGCGTGTAAATATACTATGTTTGTGTCAGTCATCTAAGGAACTATGTTTTTGTAATGTATAATGTTGAAAATATAGAGTTTGAATTTATATACAGGGTGTATCAAAAAAGCCTGACCCCCTTGATAAGGTAGGTAGAAGACAGCAAAATAAGTTGGATTTGCCCAGTAAGAAAATGTCGTAACGGCATCCGTTTTCAAGATACAAGGTGTTGAAAAAATGATCCTTTTACACGTTTTTTACGATTATGTCGAAACAACAGGCAACATTGTAATGAAATTTTGTATGGAGTTTTTTTGGAATCTGACATATAGCTAGAATTTGTTTTTCTATCTGACTCTCATAGATGGCGCTAGTTACACGGTTCGTACCTAGTAATTTCAAACATAACTTTTTTGAAGTTAGATTTTTCAATCCGAATTTGATGAGACCTTGAACATCATTCAATTCCACACCAAAGAGGTACTCTTGGTGAAACTCGATACTATGTTCCGTTGTCGCAATATTCCGATTTGAAAATGATGAAGTAATAACTGTTGCTGGTATAAAGCTATGTATTAGAGTGAGTATCATAAAAAATCATCACCTATTTATTGCGAATCGAAAAAAACAATACATTTCTAATGCTAAACTCAATGAAGTAACAATGATTCACAAGAATGACATTGAAACAAATTTCACTAAGAACATGGATTACACAGTTTCGTTGTATAAAACAAAAAGTGTATGCTACAGAGGTAGATTCACGTCTGGAGTTGCAAGTCAGAATTGAACATCACTAAGATGACCTTACAGCTGATCCTCAACCGTTTAAAAAAATAATGCTTTCATAAAAAAAAATCGAATCGTGTATTCGTGGAAACGGAGGACATTTGGAATACTTAACTGATTCAATATTTTATGTTTCTTGTAAAATATTTCTCAATTTTCTACTTGTGATCCTTTGTTCAATCAATAACCACAGCACAAGAATGATGTTATCGTTTTTCAATCTGAATGAACAAGTAATTGATATCAATAAAATTCATTTCATAGGAGCATGAGCTTTTACTCCATCATTATTTTCAAATCGAAATATTTCGAAAGCGGAACACAGTATCGAGTTTCATCAACAGTACCTTTTTGGCTTGAAATTGAATGATGTTTGAGTTCACATCAGATTTGGGTTGGAGAATTCAACCTCAAAAAAGTTATGTTCAAAATTAATCGGTACGAACCGTGTAACTAGAGCCCTCTATGAGAGTCAGATATAAAAACAAATTCATGCGATGTGTCAAGTTCCAAAAAACATCCATACAAAATTTCATCACAATGTTGCCATTAGTTTCGACGTAATCGGGAAAAATGTGTAAAACACCTTGTATCTTGAAAACGGATGCCGTTACGACATTTTTTTACTGAACAAACCCAATTTATCTTGCAGTGTTCTACCTACCCTATCAAGGGGGTCAGGTTTTTTTGAAACACCCTGTATATAATAATATGTATAGTGGGTGAATCACTTATTCTGGACCAGACTTGCTGAGAAAATAGATCAAGCTGTTTTGATAATAAAATTGCTAATAATAGGATAGGATGATAACATATTGTTTTCTGGAGATATACCGGGTGACACAGGAGACATGTAACAGTCTGTAGTTTTTTTATTTGAAGAGATGAAAATTTTTAATTCACAAGGGTTGTATTAATGATGATGGCGCTTTCCATGAACCCAATGATAACTTTTTTCAAGCACCAGTTTGATTGAAAGTAGATCCAACTTTTTTTTCCATATGGCACCCTGTATATTTTTGTAGTCTATCGTATGCGCCTTGAAATTCGCTATTCAACTATGTATCACAATTTGATATTCGTTCATTAATTGGCTGTTACATTGCATTTTATTGAAAGTTGGCTGTGGCCCGAATACAATGACATTTTGATGCTTGATAGGCTTAAAAATCTAAAGATAATCACTTAGAAGATATTATCAGGATATTTTCCATACCCTAATCGGTCCTAGAAGATTGGCAATACTTTCATTGAGTTTAAAAAAATCATCCGAAAATAACTCACGATATTAGGACGATACATCAATCATTACAACAATTTCAGTTTCAAGTATCCATATGGATGATCATATCCCAGCGAGCACAAAAACATCTCAGAGATGTTAAAAGTACGAGATTTCGAGACATTGAACCTCCACTTCGATGTTTTGTTCACACATGAATAGAACTATTACAGAACAGCCAATGTCCGCCGCAGGCGGCAATTATCGAGATGTCCTTGATATGTCACAAAACTACCTTCTCTCTAGTTCTTTTTAAAGCCTTTTCATGGATACAACAGAACATTTTCAACGCGTCTTGCGCACATTAAATCGCTGTAAAAAAACCATTTTCGAGGTACTTTTCTGAAGCCTTTTGTCAAAATGAACTTTTGCAATAGGACTCCATTTCCCTTGAATGAAAAAATGCATTAAAAATAGATTGAACATACAAATATTCTCTTGATATGAAATTACCTTCTTAATCGGTTTCTGAGTAGTGCTTACTACACACAGACATATAATTGGAAATAGGTTTCCCAATTTTTGAAATGTTCTCCACAATGCATAATTTTGCAACAGCGGAGAAGCTGTGTATTGATGAATTCGTACTTTTATATATTGATTACACTGAGGCACCGAACAACACATCTTGCATCTGATGGTCATTATTACAAACTAAATAAGTCTTCTAACACAATAAACTTCACCAAATTCCTTTCTGTTCGTTAGCAGCGTGATGTAAGCGTGACACGTTGCAAACGCGAATGCCAATTGCGAACAAGAAGAACAAAATCGAAAACAAATCAGAATTCATCGTTTTGTGACGTAAGCATGAGACGTTGTGGTGGGCCAAACAAAGGTAGGGCACAAAAGAACAAAAACAATACTTTCAATATCCTTCTAAGACCTCTTTGGGAAGTGCATATTACGCCTCAAAAATACATCCTCATGCCTACATTTCTAAAACATCTCAAAACATCCCACAGGGATACCTCTCAGTCGGCAAACAAAGAAATGCCACAGAAGAACAAAAACAATACTTCAATATCCTTCAAAGACCTCTTTGGGAAGTGCATATTACGTCTCAAAATAACATCTTCATGCCAACATTTTCAAAACATCCCAAAACATCCCAGGGATGTTTGTGCTCGCTGGGATTATGGCTACATGGCAGAAATGAAAGACAAATAGTTTCTTCACAAGTAGCAAAATGAAAAAAACTGAGTTTCTTTCTTAGTTTTCTCAATATCGTGAGTTATTTTCGGATGATTTTTTTAAACTCAATGGAACTATTGGCAATCTTCTGGGACCGATTAGGGTATGGAAAATATTCTGAGTAATGATCTTTGGATTTCTGAGCTCATCAAGCATCGAAATGTTATTGCATCGTATTTTTTGTATTGTAGCTGTTGTCGAGTGATACTGAAACTGATAAGGAACGATGGATAGAGGCCATCAGCCCACCAAGGTCAGACGATCCTGATGAGACTTTGTATGAATGCTGGGACTGCCCACAAGTGAAGGCAATCCATAATTACGTCTGTCAACAAGCAGACGAATTGTCTTTGTCCAAAGGAGATGTCATCAATGTCCTTAGGAAAATGAGCGATGGTATGATATGTTCATATATTCTTATGATTTATTTTTCTGATTTCGTGATAGTGATTGTGATCAATGCCAGCGGATTCCTAGATTTTTATTTTCTGGTTGTCTTTTCAATGTTTTAGATGCTTTTAGTTCTATTTCAGCTGCATCCCCTCAAATCACTCAATCTATTGATTGTTTCAGCTACCTACTAATATAATTAAACTCAAACTTCAACACACTAGTATTAGGCTTTCATCAGCTCCTTCGTCTTCTATAGTGGCAAAGCTTGTGATTCAATATTCTACGGATCTACCTATATTATATAGAATGTGAAATATATAGTGATTGTTCTCAATAATATTCCACATACGTGAAAATTGTTATTATTTGAGTTCAATGTGCAGCTTGCGCTCAGGATAATTTTATAATAAGATGTTTGACCTCTTAATCCTTAGTGCCATTATCTTCAATAATATGACCGTAAATCTTTTCAGTTTGCGCGTTCTTGAAAAAGACAATAAACCCATTAATTAAAACTTGTACTTTTTCAAGGACAAGAATGAACGTTAATTTTGTACGTTGAGAACAATTTTCTCACTCATTATCCTATTTGACAAAATATGAAGGTGCTGAGATATACAGAACGATGCTTGTTTTTGAGAATATAGAGACTTTGCATTCGAGTATTTCAGTGTGGTGAACATAAATGAGAAATTGTGAAGGAACTTGTATATATATTCATCGAGATATTCCAAGAAGTGTTTGAAATTTATGAATATCTCTATCTCTATAACAGCAGATCGTTTGCTGTTTTACTCATGTAACATGTAATAGGTATGTTGCATTCTCATTGTGTTTGTACAATATTATATTTTTTCTGTGACGGGGAAAAGTTTGAGTCTGTTGACAGGTAACAAAATATCACTTTTTATGAACGAAATTTTTTCAACGGAAAAAAAAAAGTGAGTACTATTTTCCCGGATGTATAGGTGCACTGTTGATAGCTTTTGTTGTCCCAGTTAGAATATCAAAGTCGTCTTATTCAACAGTCAGATGCTGACTAGAAAGCACCGCTTCTCAGCGTGATAACACCAATAAGTTCACAACAGAAAATTATTCGCTTTTCATATCACCAGTAAAAACAAAAACGCAACAGATACAGTGTCAAAATAATCATCAAATGATTGTATAGTACACCACTTTGGTGTTGAATAACACGAACCGATCAAGCACTATAGGTACTCTAGTGTAGTTCTTGACTGTATGTAAATACGAATGACATCCTATGATGGTGTTAAAAATATCAGTGTTAATTCTCACTGAGATAATCAGGACCTCAGGGGACATACAAGGGTGTAAGCTGGTGTGAATTGGTGTCTAATATTTTTCACTGTGCATATATCTTTGCCACACTCAGGATTCTTTCTTTATGATGGTTGTAATTGATTGATTATTGCTGAGGTGACTAGTGCCAAATAAATTGAGACATCAAACATTTTTTATGAGTCGAACCTACAATTTTCCGTGATTCATTTTTTTTGCAAGATTTCCGTAAATGTCTACTTTCTCTCAAGTTCACAATGAATGAGTTGTTAGCATTAATAGGAACAGTCGAGTGTAATGAAGAAAGTTATCGAAAGCACTTTGTTTCGAGTAATTTAAAGTGATGATGAAAATGATGGACGTGGGTAAAATCTGAATGCCTCTCTTTCATAATAGAAAAAAACACGAGATATACCTATAATGTTGAAATACTCCGTAATAACTATAATTGTTCGTGCCATTGATATTTATTTAATTAAAATTAAAGTCGACTGTGATCTTGGACTTATTGTTAGAGAATTATGACCTCAAGTGGAATATACCGAGTAAACCAGAAAGCTTGAATTTTCAGTCTATGAAGATATGGACATGAAATTTGACCATTCAAGTTTTTGATTATCTGGTAACAGAGCAAATGCACTGAACTTTTGATATTTGAATAGGAATCCAGTACCTATATCTCCTTTAATATCATTGTCAATTCTTCAATCTTAGAATGCTGTGAATTTGTTCAAAAACTGTTCATTATAGATATATTCTTTCGTGCTCTCCAAGAGATGAAAAAATGTTATTTCAATGATTCACATATGCTTCAAATATATCATATTTATCTAACACTCTCACGAAACGCAACATTTTTGTTATACATGCAGAGGGTCACCCAACTATTGAGAAAACATACCATTGGTTTGTCAAAGATATCACATTCATTAAATTTCTTTCGGAAATAATTTTCCTCTAGTGAAAAATACTGATTGTTTCGTAATTTGAGCTATTGTATATTCATTTATAACGAAGTAATCAACCAAAAAATCCCGTTCTGAAAATATTTGACATTGGAGTTACCTTTTGAATACATATAGAGTATAGTGGTTGCCAGGAAACGAATACAATTTTTCAAAATTATCAATCAACATCTAGAGAGTTCTTCAAAAGTTTTATAAATAAGAATCATCATATGGAACTACCTATGAGAAATTGTTGAAGAAATAATTGGAATACATAACATTAGAATCGATGATATTTTTGAACTATGTATGGTACTAAAAACGGCTGGAGCCATCATATATCACGAGTTATTCCATGAAAGTTGAAAATATACATGGTTTTTCATTTGAAAAGTAAGATAATTAGTAGTTCTATCAACTTTCAGATGCTCACTTGTTTCGATATTTTTTGCATTCAAAGTTTTTTTGAACTCATCGAATGAACCTGTCCATACTTTCGAATCACTTATCAATCATTCAATCAATCCTGCACTTCTGATTTATCTGAAGTAAAAGCGAAATCATTATAGGCATAGGAATTTAACAACACTTTAGATTCATATCCTCGTGTTGATGTAACTCTATTGAATCTTTATTTGACTAATGTAAAAGCGAAATCATTCTACTTCGAAACAACCGATTTATATCTGTAACTTAAGGCTCATCAGAATCCACGCCTGTTTGACTCTTTTACTACTGCTACTGCTATATCAATACTAGAAAATATATACAGGGTAGGGAATGAAAATATTTCACACACATTTTACTGCTTTGAAATGAGGATCGATTTCTGATCCGAAGGGAAACAAATTGTCTGCTTTTTCATCCCCGTAACTTCAACCAACAAGTAGATTTCCATATTCTGTCATTAGTTTATTGAGTGCTTCATATATAATAATTATTTCTAGAGCAAAATTAGGAACAATCTAATGTAGCAATGAACTCGTTTCGAACATACCATTTGCTTGAATAAATGACATGAAATATGTAATTATTTTGTTCATTCTACATCAAGTCGAATTTTTGCCTCTAGATGGCGATCATTTCGCCTCGCCTATGCCTGTCTCGAATTCATTATATACGTGTAGCCAGATTCTTCTTTTTTGAAATATCAGCTGAATGAATCGAACTTAGGATGATTAGCAATCCAAAATAGTTTTGCATCAGCTGAAGAGGAGTAAAGACTGGAGATCTATGCTAGAAGTCGACTAGTTTCCTAGTTAAGTTCATTATATTGCTGTGAAATATTAGAAAAATCCCGAATTAATACTGAATTTGGTTCAACAAAATGATTTGTAGAATGAAAATACAGTTTCTTTTGAATCAACAACATATTTAATTGAATCAACAAAATATTTCATTGAATTAACCAAATATTTCTTAGAATCAACCGAATGTTTCATTAAATCAGCAAAATTTTTGATTGAATCAATATCTTGTTATTTTGAATCAAACTAAATAATTGATTGAGCCAATTCAATATCTCTTCATGAACAATTCATGGATGTGCTTGATTGAATAAGATCCGGAGTTCATGCAAGACATATTTATTTAATTCAAACTTCAAATTCGCTCTGAAACAAGATATAGATTCAGTCATTTCAAGATTATATTTTGTCGTGCATATATGACACTTTTATTTGCTTCATTCGATGAGATTTTGCTTGATTCAACAATTCCTTTTTTTCCGTGTTTGTTTCAGATGGGCTATTCTAAGCGATTTTATAAAATACGTTTAGGCAGACATTAATTGTCCAATTTTTTTTTCAAGGTTGGTATCATGGAGAAAGACTGAGAGATGGACAAACTGGATGGTTTCCTGCGAATTATACGAGTGAAATCGTTAACCCACATGTTCGTGCCAGGAATTTGAAACAGAGATACAGGCTGTTAACATTTTCCGAGAAGTATTTGAAATCATAGATATTTTATGTACCTCTATTTAATGTATATTGTAATTATTTCCTATTCCTCGTGATTTCACCTATATGTATAAATAATATTATTTTAACAACTGTTGTATAAGAATTATCTTACAATATTCGAACTTTAATATATTATTATATTTATCATATTTGACTTAATTTGACATCTGTGAAGAAATACTGAGATAACTGAAATTTATTCGTTAGTTGTGATGATGTTCAGATATAAAATAAATCATAGGTAGTTTGAAAAACTATAGAAACACGCTTCCATATAGATAGTCAATTTGAAAAGAAGTAGCAAAAAAACTGTTGATAAATACACAACATAGAAGATAACGATTACGGAGGTGATGATATTTTCCATGTTGTGTATTTTCATCAAGACGATTTTACACTACACACTGTTTTACCACTAACCAAACCGATTTCATACACCTCGACACGTGTTTCGCTAACTATGTTAGCATCTTCAGGAGAAGATTAGAACTAATTACTCTATCCTAGTGGGCTACCTATATACTAGGTATATGTGCACCCAACCGTGAATAGACAATAAATGGTTGAATTCATTATGTTGATTTTGGTCTTATATAACTGAACTATACAGAGGGCTAAATGGGATAGGTCCATTATCCTTATTCATTACTCTATTACTATTCTTGAATATCTGTAAGCTTACATATGCATCTGATTTTCTAACATTATTAACTTGCTTAACTAATTTGAGGTCATTAATATGTGTATAGTGATTGTGATTGAAAATTTTTTCAGCTACACACATTTATCTAACCTACCATATTTAAAATGAGCTAAGTGTTCTTTGAACCTTGTTTAAATGGAACGCCTGGTTTGACCTATATATGTTTTATTACAATCATAACAAGACGATTTCATTATTTTATCTACTCACTGCATCGGAAGTAGGCGTTTGCTTCCTCATTTAAGGACACAAACCTGTCAATTTACACCCATGGGAGTAAAAAATTTACCTCCTGTGGGATGTGAAATGAATTGGCTTTAGATTGCTTCCTTATAGGAGATATATATATATATATATAAGATCTGTGCTACCCAAGTACCTGAACACTGTCTCCATCACTAAGATGAAAAAATTGTCCTTGAAGACTGTATGGAGTTTCAATTTAATTCGATGTTCTGGAGTTGGTCAAAATAGTCAAAATCACCTGTCTCTTATTGTAACTATTCATACCAGTACTTGATGCAAGACTCTGTCGTGTCTCTGGATATAGAAAGCAATGTGAAAAATTCAAACGTGTATATTATTTGAGATTTTGGCGAAGGAACATTTGGAATTTTGGTGGCGGAACATAATTCACCATTTCATTCGAGAAATAAAAACGATAATCCTGAAGATCCTGTTTAGGATAATAGAACAAAACTATTGAATTATGCTATTGCCAACTGTCCTTGATAAGTGTGCAGAATTTTAATTCAATTCGACGTTTTGAAGGGGGTCAAAATCACGTTCGAAGCGTAGCGTAGCGAACTCAGTGGTTGTTCAGTAATTCAACCCATTTATGCCTACCGTCCTTTTGAAAGGACTTGAAAACAAAACCTGTAGTGTTCTGATTCAGCTGACGGTGTGAAGATGTCGACAGTGTCACATTATATTTAGTTGACATATTGAACAAGGTCAATCGCGATCGTTAGGATTTTGTTATGTTTTGGATCGATAGTGACGGTTAAAAAACGCTGTCTTTCTAGTAATTTTGCAATTGGTGACTCAAGGTGAGACATGTTGAGACTCGATTATTTTTCCGTTGCTGTTCTGATTATTTTTACCGAATAACATAATTTACTAATTTTTATTTATATTTGTGGTTATGTTTCACACTTCTTGATCAATCCAGGGGCATTCAATTGAACGACTCCTTTTGAAAGGACGGTAGGATTATGTGCTACTATGCGGTTTTTTTTGCAGGTATTGGAAAAAAGCACTAACCATGGCAAAGCACTAAGATGAATTGAATAATGACTCTACGCCGGATATTCCTACAGGCATAATGATTTTTCAACCCTAAATGCCAACGAAAACTGCGATAACGAAGAGAACTCTGGGGCTGAAGACGACGTTGTCATCAAAGATCAACTGGTGACCTGCTCGCTTACGTCTCACATATTATATGACAGTAATCTATTGAAAAACACGGTGAAACCTTAGCCGTGGCACTTGAAATTTCCAAGGCATTCGATCAAGTCTGGCACCACGGACTCTTCGCCAAACTTCCATCTTATGGCTTGTCTCCCCAGCAATGTTCTCTGCTAGCTAGTTTTCAAACAGGTCTCTCCATGTAGTGGTCGACGGAGTTTCATCTGACTCTCTTATCATAAATGCTGGTGTTCCGCAAGGATCAATCCTAGCACCAACACTATTTCTACTCCATATCAACGATTTGTTGGAAGCAACTGCATGTCCAGTTCACAGCTTCGCGGATGATAGTACCCTTCATACCGCCTTCTCTTCCAGGGCTTCAATTCCAGCCAGGCAATTCAGAAACGAACGAGGGAGAAATGTTGACAACATAAATATGGACTCGGCAACAATAATTCTTGAATGGGGATCCAATAACTTGGTAGATTTCAATGCAAACAAAACACAAGCATGCCTTTTTTCTAAAAAAGCCGATCTCACCGTGTCCAACATAAGCTTGTCAGGAGTAACCATACGTTTGAAGACATCCATTTCGTTGCTTGGGATCACTATCAGGAATAACCTTTCTTGAGAAAATCACGTGAGATCAGTTGCTAAAAGTACATCTCAAAAACTTGGTTTTCTGTTTCGGGCCAGGAGCTATTTCAGTTCCAGTCAGCTGCTTATGATCTATAAGGCGCAGATCCGACCTGTCCTGGAATACTGTTCCCATATTTGGAGTGCAGCACCCAAACATACCCTGAAACTGTTGGATTCTGCTGTCCAAAAAAGAGCAATTCGTCTCGTGGGTGATGCCTCGCTCACAAACTCACTCACTTCTCTGGAACACCGTAGAAAAGTTGGCGATCTGGATCCATTTCATAGATATTTTCATGGAAGATGCTCTTCTGAAATATCAACAATTGTTCCTTCCTTGGCAGTCGATGCGTGATTAACCATTCGAGTTGAGGCTTCGCACCCCTTCGTGGTCACTTTGGAGACCTGCAGAACATCGCTTTCCAAAGACTCGTTCATCCTACGAACAGCAACGCTCTGGAACACATTGCCAAGGGAGGTGTTCCCCGAGGCATATAACCTCCAGAAATTTAAGAAGAACACCAATTCCTACATTAATTCCCCTGGTTCTCACGATGTTCTCTGAACATTACAGGATATTCCTTTTTGGTGGGAACATAAAAATAAAATAATAATTTACCCGGAGTGCTACTAAGGGCCATTGCGTGAATTGAATTCGATGTGGAAGGTGATGACGACGGGACAGTGATGACGATCTACCACTGTCCACTTTCGATGAAAGGCGACCAAAACTCGACTTTGACTATACTCTCAATGGTGATTTATAGATCCTACGTGTATGCAATGGCAACCAGTTCAAACTGCACAAAGCAATCATTCCCATAGAAATATGTTCAAGCTGTTTTTTAATAAAAACTTCGATAAAAACTTGTAGGATAAATTGCCAATTTCAGCTTCAGCAATATTTAAGCTCAACAAAAAAACCGTCCCGGACTGCAGACGAGATGTACTGCTTCATAGAGGTCAGCAGATATACAACTGGTCCAAGGCAAAATTGCAACAAACTTTTATCAGCCTCTATATTTCCAATGATAAATTTCAATTCATAATAACCTTGTTGAAAATTACAAGTACTCTGAACTGCGTCCTCTTTTCAACAGCTCGAATACAAAGTTTTTGATCTTTCCCCAGTTGAAGAGAATCACAGCTTTGATGAGGTTATGATACCGTTTTTTGCAGTAAGCAATTTATTAGAGGTGACTGTACAAATTTCAAGATGGATACATTGTTTATTTTGATCCCTACCAAGGTGCGTCGACCACAATAATTCTAGACGTCCAATATGCAGATGTTTTACGAAATATGCCTTACAAGCCCTTTCACCTCTTTTTTGACAATTTTCTCACATCTTTGTCACTTCTGAAGGAGCTTGAATTCTCATAAGCATTTCGTGAGATATAATATAAAAATATTTTCAAATCTTTATTCATTTCTCTAATAGTAGATCTATATACTACCGTCATTTTAAAAGGACTGCTGCTGTTTTCCAAAACTGGAGATTTTTATGATTTTTTCTCCAATCATTGAACCTTTTATTGATCGATTTCGCGAAAGTAATGAACAAAATCGGAAAAAAATAGTTCCAGGGTAAAATGGGTTGAGTAATCGCGAAGTGCTGAAGTGGAATGGAAGATAAAAGGACTTTGACAGAGATGAAATGTCAAATTTGTTTTCCGATCACAGAAAAAATTATTTTTTTCGCGACGACACTACAGAGCCATCTATGGCAGAGCCCATCCATCTCCTAATAAACTATTTTGTGCAGGAAGAAATCGACTTCTTAACATAATATGAAAAATTAAAGGAATCTTCATCATATAGCATACGAATAATTGAAAACATGTCCTATAGATGCCGCGACAATTACTGGAATGATTGAAATTTCAAATATTTCTTGGAAACTATCAATTTATCATAAAAAAAATTACTACCTATTCATCCAACTACAATATATTGTAGTACTTGACCGAACACGATCATTTGGAATTCTTAACGATGAAACACTTACAAAACTGAATCATGACAATTAGCCTTGAGTATTCACTAAGGCAATTAGGTGATACCGTTGAGTATTTAATTATGTGATTTCATGATGTATGAAGCAATGAAAGAAAGCATGAACATATAACTATCTAAAGAAAACCCTTCTTGAGGGCCATGTACAATGATCTGTGCCTATAGTTTGCACTTGAACGTTTATAAAAATATGCTGCTACGTAAAATATAACAGTTCTGTAATTTTGAAGTGAGTAATATTTTCATTATCTTCCACTTTCCTTTTATGTTTTTTCGAACAACATCACTTGCGACTTATTGCGACTAGCTAGATATTTAGGAAATGAATCAAAATGAAACTAGATATTATCACTTCAATATGCTAGGATAATTTTCTTGTTTAAAAACATGACCCACTAAAGCAAGGTTGAAATGAATATCAATTTCATGAAAGTAAGTAGGTATATATTGTTACTCGTACTCAGATATAAGTATTGTTTCTATTAAAACAACTGGTATATATGTATATAAATAAACTAGATAGTTGATAGGTAAGGATACTTATCTTGATTTCATAATGGTTTCATTTCATTATTTATTCTTATACCATTGTTATATTCGTGTTATATATGAGCATGAAATTGCATATAGGTACATAAAGAAAGACCTACCGCGATATCAAAAATTATCTTGGTTTGAGGTGGCCATGAAACAATAATATGAATGATTAACATAAATATAGGATACCAAACAGGATTCTATAATTCATTGGTACCTCTAGTTTTGCTTCGACACAGATAATTTTGAATACCTCGGTATAGGTAATAGATTATGGAATATAGCTTCAGGTTGTTACACATAGACAACACATCACAATCATCGTATTGAAAATTTAAATATCTCTCCAGGATATTGGTCGGAAATTATGGTGAGAATAATTCCAGGCTAGCCTCAGAAGGAAGTAGACTCATTCTTTGTCTAGTTTTGTTCGTAGATTACCACTTGCAGGAAATGATAGTCTTTGATTTCATACCTGCCAATATTTTTCTCTGTATCTAACTCAGGGGAAGCGATTGGTGCAACCTGTGGTGGGTATTATGAGATAGGACTTCGATTATACTCCTATAAGGTTACTAGAATCTTGGTCAACATTGGAAAAAGAAGTAAAATTTCCAATAACTGTGTTTGTTTGTTTGTTAATCATTGTCTACAAGAAATCAATTCATGTAATGATTTGATTGATGATGGAAAAATATACTCTTCTATTCTCTGGGGAAGCGTTATTACCTCATTGACTTCCTACCAGATTTCCAATTTTCATTTCGGTTTGGAGTCCTAGTATGGATAATAATATATGGCTAGCCTTGTTTTCAGATTTTAGATAACTACCCAGAAAAAATAAATAATTGTGATGAGCTCTAACTAATTATGAAATAATATTTCCATCTATCTAAATTAGATGATGCCAAATAATAAGGGTATTCCTATCTCCAGTAATTTCTGGAGTTCATCTTGAAGGATAATATAGAGTCAGTTAGTCTTTATTTCATTCTCAGTCTTATTTCTTTTTATGTTCTGGTTCCCACGAGAAGGGATATCCTGTGATGTTCAGAGAACATCGTGAGAAGCAAGGGTAATAAGGTAGGAATTCGTGTTTTTCTTGAATTTCTGGAGGTTACATGCCTCGGGGAACACCTCCCTTGGCAATGTGTTCCAGAGCCTCGCTGTTCGTTGGATGAACGAGTCTTTGGAAAGAGAGGTTCTGCAGGTCTCCATAGTGACCACGAAGGAGCGCGAAGCCTCAACTCGACGGGTTAATCTCGCGGGGACTGCCAAGGGAGGAACAATTGTTGATATTTCAGAAGAGCATCTTCCATGGAGATATCGGAAAAATAGAGCCAGATCGCCAACTTCTACGGCGTTCCAGAGAAGTGAGTGAGTTTGTGAACGAAGCATCACCCACGAGACGAATTGCCCTTTTTTGGACAGAATCCAATGGTATGTTTGGGTGCTGCACTCCAAATATGGGAACAGTATTCCAGGACAGGTCGGATTTGTTCCTTATGGATCATAAGCAGCTAACTGGAAGTGAAATAGCTCCTGGCCCGAAATAGGAAACCAAGTTTTTGAGATGCACTTTCAGAAATTGATCTTACGTGATTTTCCCAAGAAATGTTATTGCTGATAGTAATACCAAGGATCGAAATGGATGTCTTGAAAGGTATGGTTACTCCTGACGAGCTCATGTTGGGCACAGTGAGATCAGCTTTTCTAGAGAAAAGGCATGCTTGTGTTTTGTTTGCATTGAACTCTAGTTATTGGATCTCCATTCGAGAATTGTTGCCAAGTCCATATTTATGTTGTTTCTGATTAGTTAGTCAACCACATCAGTCTCAGAAACTTTACTTTGACAGTGATGAAACAGGTGGATGATAGATGGAATTTGGCTTGATTGTCACATGAAACCGAGCATGAAACTGTTAAATCTACCTTGTGGATCATGTACTTTATGTACTGAAAAGTTGATAACTACCATTTGTAGTCATATAATTATGTAGAGTAAAGAATAATGTAAATATAGCCACGATCTCGAAACATCAACATAAATTAACACCTTACCATCTTGTTCTGACTTCAACAACATGCATTTTGATGAACTGAGCAATTGAAACAAATTGAATAACTTCAATATCAACAATGTTCAGATTTTGAGGAACATTATATTGTAAACAAGAATTAGATTGTTCCTAATTCGATATACAAATGAATTAATATTATAAAGAATCTGGCTTTGTTGGATGCCGAAAAATAGTGTAAGTTCACAAGATGCCCGGAGATTTTTGGACGATTAGACAACAGTTGAGCTATAGAAGTCTCCGAGTATTTTTCGAACTTGCTATGGAAATTGCCATTTCAGTACAGTATTTTCTTCCGAATGATTGGTAGAAGAAAATACTGAGCTTGTGATATACCTACCTGATGAACTCTGGTTTTATATCAGGAGGGATGAAAGAACTTACAGTCACAGCACAAGAGGACATATCTCGAAGGATTAATCCTTCATCATCAGCAAATTTATGAAAAGAAGGAAACAACGCTTAAGTTTTTGAGTATTCTTAAAAAGTCTGAATATACCTACCATTGTTGGTGGAGAAAGATTACCTAAATAACCAGAGACACTAGGTATTTTAAACCGCTGTTATAAGTCCAATCAAATAATATTCGTTTCTATAAAAATCAAAAATCTCATTGAAATATCCTCTTCAAACAGCGAGATAACGTTGAGTAGATCGCGAACACAAATACAATAGATAATATTATAATAAAAAGAGTGGGACTTTCGAATTGCATTTCACAACAAATACTACTCAGTGTCGTGGCAACCGCGTCGATACAAAGTCGCGAACTATCCTCAACACATGATATGTGCAATGTGCGCGGGTCACAATAAATCTAGGTTATACTTCTAACAAACCAACGACTTTGCCTTATCTCCAAGTATTCCATTGGAAGGCGAGAACATGACCTCATAGAAGTAGCCACAAATAAAAAAAAACTCAAGATGCCTGAGAAGAACACTCTGCTTTCGAACAAGACCCACAAAATGGACGATATGGGCTTGATGATGAAGGACATAAAGCCCAGCAATATACTCATGAAACGATTCCTCAAGAGCGAGATCTCCGCTGTCGATGAAACCGATGAGGAAGAAGAAGAAACCGACTGTGATAACGAAACTAAAGAACCTAAAGACCACAAAGAACAACCCTTAGACCATAGGATATCCCCCGCTGGGTCGCTGCGGAAGCATTCCAGGATGGAGTACCATCCGGACATCCCGTTGCACAGCTTCAACAACATCTCGTCTTACCACAGCAGCCCTAATTTTCGCAGGAACAACAGCGTTCGATCGCTGAAGAACTACCACCATTTGATGACAGAGTTAGGGCACAAGCCACCAAGTAGTGAGTCCGGTAGTCACGTGTCCAAAAATCCCTCAGAGGCAGCTTCTTTGAGGTCTTGGGCCTCGGTAGGGATGGGATCTACTGATGGGAAGAAGATGATTGTCAGAAGGGTGCCGACTTCTCCTGTTGAATTGTTTAATATCGTTAATCCCCCAACGTAAGTAAACTACAATATTTCTTTTGAATTGACTCGGCCGATACTTGATCCATGGCAAATGTAAAAACTTCACAAACGTTAAGATTTCTACAAAATTTTCAAACACACGACATGTTTCGCTAACACAGTAGCTTCGTCAGGTGATATACTGGTACGATGAACTAAACTAACATTGGCTTGCTTATAATCCTACTTTCCCAACTTGAAGGATTAGTTACCTGTGGACAGGTTCGACAAACCTCCATTTTCGGAAATTACGCACAATATCTACATTTAAATACGGTGTACCAGATTAACATGAAAGGGTTGATATCAAATTCATATTGTTACTAACTAAGAAAACGCATTCAACAGTGGTGAACTATTGGGGTCTAATTGATCGTTGAGTAATATGTCAGAATATTTGAGCTTGTTGATTTCTAATGATTCAGAATGATTGAGTTTCATTCCTTGATTTTCTACTTGTAGAATTTAGAAATTATCATCAAAACTATGGTTTTCTTCTAATATATGGTTGGCGTATGTTGGATTTGTTTTTTTTTACAAAAAATTCATCTTATGTTCGTGAATGCGCTGATTGAACGTACGACCTGTCTGACCGATATATACCTTAGGACAAGATCCACAGTTGAGTTCGTATACCCCTTCTACGACCAAAAATAGGGAGGAAAACGTATGAATCTGAGTCGAAAAATGTATCCTAAGGAAGCTACGAACCTCTGAAAGGGGAGATAATATTTCTTGGATATTTCCGAAACACCACATTATGATAAAATGATACAATTCGGTACAAGAACTTTACTCCCCATGCCCAATGCAGTGAAAATGAAATAATTCCAAAATTTCATTCATGAGTTTAGGTATGCATGTTTTTCGACGATTGAAAAAAACGATTCAAAAATATTGTTACATCTCAAATATTATGCAGAACATTGCAATAAACCGTATAGTCCATATAGAAAAAGTAGTTTTTTCATCATTATTTTCCTATTGTACGCTACTCTCTGGCATCGTTCCGTGAAAAGAATTTAGTTTATTTATCGCTTGGAGCGCACGAAAGGAAATCCCTATAATGTTCAAAGAACATCGTGCGTTCCTAGGGAGGATAAAGGGATAGGAGGTAGGTATTGGAAATTTTATGAACTTCTGGAGATTATATATGTTGGTGGGAATACTTCCTCAGGCAATGAATTCCAGTGCCTAGCCGTTCTATGAATGAAGGAGTTTTGATAAAGTGCTGTTCGACATCTTTCGAGGTTGACAACGAAAGGATGTGCTGACTGGGCTTGTCTAGTTCGTCTCACTGGTATTGCTAGTGCAGGGATGATAGCAGAGATTTCCGAAGAACATTTCCCGTGGAAGTATCGGTAGAAAAGTGAAAGGTCGCCGACCATTCTACGGTGTTCCAATGATGTCAAATGTCAAAGAGTGAGTGAGTGTGGCGTCACCCACCAGGCGGATGGCTCTTCTCTGGATGGAATCCAAGAGCATCAGCGTATGTTTTGGTGATGTAATAATATTTATAAATCGATTTCACGCGATGAGGATACATCTGATCGATATGGTACAAGCGCACTTTTTTTCTGTAAAGAGGTGTGAATTTTTATAAACCGAGATTAAATTGTTGAAGAATATGCACACAATATTTATTGTAGCCACCCTGGATGGAATTTTGTGATTATATTTTTACTGCATTGGGCATGGAACTCGACACGTGGAACGTTCAAATCTTATACCAGATATATCCAGGGAATATCATCTCCAGGAGTCCCCTTTCTGATTGTCTTGACTCCCTTAGGAGACATTTAGAAACAATATTTTTTATCTCTTGGAGCGCACGAAAGGAAGTTGCTATAATGTTCCTAGGGAGGATAGGGTGAGGAGGTAGGTGTTGGAATTTTTTTTATCGAGGATAGGAAGAGGAGGTGTAGGATTTTTTTAAAGACTCATGTTCATTGAAACTTTTCTTTACATTTTTGGTCGTAGAAGCAGCTGGTAAAGTTTGGCAGCTAATTTTGGTACCCCCTGTAGAATGGGATTGATTATTGATAAACGAGTTGATAAAGTCTCATTATTATTAATTGGGTTCATGTCAGACCTATCTGCAAACCTGTTCAATATCAGAATCATCAATGTCAAAATTGATTGCGATGCTTTGGACATTATCATTATGTCATGATTTCCATCAAGGTGCAGCCATTGCAAACAATTGAAATTTTGCATTTCTAGTGACTATGATGAAATGTGAATTTCTTGGACTCAAGATCACTAACCAGAATATGATGATTCATCATGAATTGGGAAAGTAGTGAACGTTACTATTAGTTTTTCAAACGCAAACGACCAATTTAATTTGTTATCGACTTATGTATTCAACGCATAAATGTGTGTGATATGGACCATGAAATCGAAATGAATGTAACTTCAATCATTGTTTCGAGGTCAAGTTCATGTCCATATTTCTTACCATGAATAAGATTAATTTTCAGATTTACTACACTACACCAGCAATACAGAAACCTATAATTATTGATTATGACGTGTTCGACAAACCCTAGCTGTTTCTGAGTAGATTATTACTATTGCTTTGATTTCTGACTCATATTTGATTTTTATTTATTCGTGAAATAGTAATGGCGAATGGGTTGGCAACTGGTTATTAACTGATCACTAATTGCCTAATACTCAATTGGTATATGTCTACCAGATGGCAAAGAATAATTGTGTGTGATGTTGAGCGAATTGAATTAAATTTGAATTGACTAACACTCTAACTTGATATGATACTTCTTCGTTAATATCGAACGCAGGTTCGTGTTTTCCGCACCTATACAATTGTAATCCAAATATTATATTTGTTAAGATAAGTTCATACATCTCCATCTCCTTTGAATGAGTTTTAAATACTTTAGCAAGTCGAAGCTTTTTCACAAAACACATTCGAAAACAAGAAGTGGAACTTACTATCACCATGACGATGAATATATACAGGGTGTTGCGAAATTCGACCCACAACGCTTGCCAGGTGATAGCCCTCGTGATTTCATATTCACTGAGATAGGGACATACTGCCTTCAGGTGTTCAGTTCTCGAGATACAGGGCATTGAAGTTGAGAAATTAAAATAATCTTTTCGCAATATCTCAAGAAACATTGTATATAATGCATTCAAATTCGGTATATGGTTTCATCTTTCTATGGTTCATTTTTTGACCAGAAAAACATTTCGAGGATTTCATCCAGGTGCTCTACCTACAGGGGGTTGTGATAACTTTTCCTCCCATATTTTCTACGCCACTGATGAAATTTTGATTATTCCCAATTCCTCGAATTGATTGTTCAATAATGTTGAAAATATGCATCACCTTCAACTGAGCTGAAATGGACAGTTATCGAGATATTTGACTCAAAATAGAAGGTTGCATCGAAATTTTTCATCTTCCTCAGAAGTAGAAAATTACAAAAATGTTTGTTTTCTCTCCATGTGTGGAATAACTATTTCTTTTCAGCTACAGAATGAGATCTGAATAGTATCTAATCTACTCAACAATAGAAAAATATTTTTGCAGTTCTACTACTGCAAATGATGAAATATTACTATGCAATCTTCTATTTTGGGTCGAATATCTCGAAAAATGTTTATTTCAGCTCAGTTGAAGATGATGCATTTTCAGAGCAGAATTGAACAATGAATTCGAGGAATTGGAAATTATCGTGATTTAATTAGTGGTGTAGAAATTATGGAAGGAAAAGTTACCACAACTCCCTGTAGGGCACCACTGGATAACATTTCCGGAATGGCTTTCTGGTCAAAAAATGACCCATTCTAAGATGAAACCATATACCTACCAAATTTGAAAACATTATATCCAATGATTCTTGAGATATTATGAAACAACTATTTTTATTTCTTAACTTTACGCCCTGTATCTCGAGAACTGAACACTTGAAGACTATAATATGTCCTTATCTCAGTGATTATGAAATCACGAGAGCTTTCACCTGTCAGACGTTGTCGGTTGAATTTCGCAACACCCTGTATATTTATATACAGGGTAGGTCAGAATTAGACCGGAATACATCGTATTTGAAGTGGAACGATTTTATCAATATATACATAAATATATACTCTCTGAGATATTGGGAGCCCCTGGTACTATTCCAGATCAATCAATGTAATGATCACAAGGAGTACCTTATGATTTTTGCATTTCTTTAAGCAGTTTCTTAGACAGATGCATTTTTGTCGAATTGGTGTAAGACATCAGTCTCAACGATACTTATCCTGAAAGTGAATCATTCCACATGCATATAAATGTAGAGTTTCCTGAGATAGTTGCAAAAACCTTTTTCTAGTTTGACGAAGCAAATCTCAACTTTTTTCGAGAACCCTGTGATGAACGTCGAATGGCTTCAGTGTCGCCGTTTTGTGAGTAATTACCCCATTTGTGAGGATTTTCGAGAATGTGGAAAAAAAACTGGAGTAATAAGAAATTCTTGAGGATTTGTGAGGATTCTGAGATTTCATGAGATTCTGCGAGTATTTCGAACGAATTGATCTTTCATGATACGACTATGCCTCAAGTAATAAAGATGGCTATGGGTCAATCATTCTCTCACGAACTTCAATCTGAGTTGAATCAAGGTTGGTAGAATTGATGATTTTTAGTTACAGTTCTGCCATCCTTGAATTCAGTATTCATCAGGTCTACCAATGGCAGGTAGGTAGGGTTGTTATAATTGATGATTTTTAGTTACAGTTCTAACATCGTTGAATTCAGTATTCATCAGGTCTACCGATGGCAAAATAAATCAACATATTATTCATGATTGGTGGAAAAATATCAGTTCTACCAATCTGCATGAAACATTACTCATAATTGATTTTGCTTTCTCATTCAATATCTCAGTTTTTCCCAATAATCAATATAATATGTTAATTCCTGAGGAAAATCAAAGTAAAAGGAGTATAACTCGCGGATTTTGATACGGTCCTGTCGT